TGGAGGTGGGGGGACAAGGGGGTGGGGGTGTCCCCCACGGAGCCAGAAGCACGCCGGGGGCATGAGGGACCTCGTCTCTCTCTTCCCCCCTCAGGACCATCTTCCTGATTATCCTGTTTGCCCAGTACCTGCGGCACGTCGCCGTCTGCCTGCCCGGCTACCGGCGGGGGGGGGGCGGCTACCGGCGGGGCAGCGGCTTCGTCCTGTTCCGTGTCCAGATCTTCAAGATGTTCCCGGTAGGGACTGGCCGAGAGCTGACAGGTCCTGGGGGGGGTGGTGTCCCCAGAAAATCCCCCCTTTTTCCACGCATGGGTTTGCAAGCGATGCGGGGTGCGTCCCCGGTCTCTGCCCCCGCAGATCATCCTGGCCATCATGGTGGTGTGGCTGCTCTGCTACGTGCTGACACGCACCGGCGTCTTCCCCAGCCAGCCCGAGGCGTACGGCTACAAGGCCAGGACGGACGCCCGGGGGGAGATCCTGTCCGTGGCACCCTGGTTTCGGGTCCCCTACCCCTGTGAGTGCCAGGCAGCCTGGCAGCATGCGGGGCTCCCCCCAGCACCCTTTCACCCCGGGGGATGCGGGGACCCGGCACAGCATCACTGGGGCTGGGGAGCACCCGGGGGGGGCCCCGAAGCGGCACTGGTGAGCACCAGGGGGCCGGCGTGCTCCCCAGCCTGATGCCCCGCTCTGCCCCCCCCGGGCAGGCCAGTGGGGTCTGCCCACGGTGACCTTCGCGGCCGTGCTGGGCATGTTCAGCGCCACGCTGGCGGGCATCATCGAGTCTATCGGGGACTACTACTCTTGTGCCCGCCTGGCGGGAGCCCCCGCTCCCCCCGTGCACGCCATTAACAGGTACGGCCGGCTGGTCCCGCCGGGACCCGCTGTGGCATCCCTGGGCACCGGGCAGGGACGCCGCAGGAGAGCAGCGGCGGAGACCAGCCCGTTTGTATTGTTCCCCAGGGGCATTTTCATCGAAGGCATCTCCTGCATCATCGCGGGGCTGCTGGGAACCGGCAACGGCTCCACCTCCTCCAGCCCCAACATCGGCGTCCTGGGCATCACGAAGGTACCGGGGCCGGGGAAGGGTCCCAACTCGGTCGGGCGGATGGGTCCCATCACCCGCTGCCGGTCTGTCTGCGCAGGTGGGGAGCAGGAGGGTGATACAGTACGGGGCTGGCATCATGCTCGTGTTGGGGACCATCGGCAAGTTCACGGCGCTGTTCGCCTCCCTGCCTGACCCCATCCTCGGCGGGATGTTCTGCACCTTATTCGGTAACCTCGGCACATCAGATCCGGGGTGCCATTATCATCAGCCCCGGGCCATTTCCCTGGGGGGGCTGGCGAGCCCGAGGGATGCAGGGCGGGCTTTGAGGGTTTGGGTCGAACCACAGCTGGGTTTGGACGCCCTTCGCTGCCTTTGCGGGCAGCCCACCCCAATGCCCGGCTCCCAGCCGGCAGCGTGGGCATCCCTGTCCGCCCGCAACCCGGCCGCCGTCTCTGCTGGCAGGCATGATCACGGCCGTCGGCCTCTCCAACCTGCAGTTCGTCGACATGAACTCCTCCCGCAACCTCTTCGTGCTGGGCTTCGCCATGTTTTTCGGGCTGACGCTGCCGAACTACCTGGATTCCCACCCCAAGGCCATTAACACAGGTACCTGCCTGCCACGAAAAGCCCCAATTTTGGGTGTTTTAAGAAGAGAGGAGGGCAGTTCTCGCAGGTGCTTGCCCACCCTGGGTAAGCAACGATTAATTAAGCAAATCCGGCTTATCACAGCACGCCCCGGCTCAGTCCCTGCGCTCTCGCAGGTGTCCCCGAGCTGGACCAGATACTGACGGTGCTGCTAACGACGGAGATGTTCGTTGGGGGGACCATCGCCTTCATCCTGGACAACACCATCCCAGGTAATTAAAGCACGTGGAGCCAGCGGGAGGAAGCAGGGGGGGTTGGAGGCAGATTCATTTTGGTTTAGAGCTGCAAAAGGGGATCCGAGGGTGAGGGGGGGGCTCGTGCTGGGCATCCCGGCTGCGGGCAAGCAGGGGCCAGGGTCTCGGCCGACACGGTGCTGGCTGCCGCAGGGACGCAGGAGGAGCGAGGGCTGGTGCAGTGGAAGGCAGGCGCGCACTCGGACAGCGCAGCGAGCGCCAGCCTGAGGAGCTACGACTTCCCCTTGGGGATGAGTGCGGTGAGGAGGAGCCGGTGGCTGAAGCACGTGCCCATCTGCCCGGTGTTCACGGGGTTTAAGGCTCGGGCGAGGGGCAGCGGCGCGGCGACGGCGGCCGCAGACGTGCAAGATAATGCAGACGGGCTCTCCGTGTGCACGAAGGTCTGAGCAAGGGGAGGGCTCGCACCCCGGCGCCGGAGAAGCCGAGCCGAGCTCCCACGGGTGCTGTCGGAGTTTGTTAGCACCCGCCAAGTCCAAAGGCAAGGCTTCTGGTGCTCATCTCAAACACAGGGCTAGGGAAACTCAGAGGTGCCCTTCGGGGACATCTCGAGCTCCCGGGGTACCTGCCTGGGGACCGCCACCCCCCGTGTCATTGCTCCACCTCAAGCTTTAGCTGATTGAGACTCGTCCGGCGCTTGCTGAAGCTCGTTAGTCACCATCGGAGCCAGCCAGAGCCCCCGGAGCCATGAACTCCCACCCGGGGCCACAAATTTTCACGCTGTGTCCTCGGCTTCGGCAGGGCTACCCGGCGGCTGAAGCGGGCTCTGTGCGGGGTACGGTATCCAGACCGGCTGGATGCCTATTTTAAGATCATACATTAAAAAAAATTAAAAAATTCCAGCCCACTTGCCGTACCTGTGTCTGCTGCATCCTGCACTGCTCCCTTGTCCCGTCTGCATTTCGAAGGCTCCAGCGGCTTTCCATACTCCCTCCCGGGCTGCCCAGCACGGAGACACGCTAGATGTTGTCCAGCCCTAGCTCCTGCATGCTCAGTGGGCTTCTGCCCAAACCCCGGTGCAGCGGGAGCCGCGGTTCAGCACAAGCCCTTGGCAAACCCGTCCTGCTGCGGAGGGCACTGGACAGCAGCGCCCACACCA